TCCCTCTCTGATCAAACTAATAAAAAAAAATGAATAAAAAAAAAAAAAAAATAAATAATTTAAAAAAAAAAAAAAAAAACTACTAAGCTGGAGATCTGCAGGTGGTATGGTGGTTAGCACACTGGACTACCACATGGTCGAACATAGTTTGAGTCCTGGATCTAGCGGCTTGCTTTCTCCCTTTCTCTCTCCGCCCCCACCTCTGGTCAGATTAAAAAATGAAAATAGGGACCAGCAATTGGCATACAGGCTATGTCGCTGGACTCCCATGTAGTCGACTGCAGTTCAGGTCCCAGATCCGGTGGCTTAAACTCACACCAGGCGCGTGTGTGTGTGTGCCTAAGATCCCAAGTGCAGAATGGAGGAGAAGGAATTGTGGCATGGCCATCCCCCTGGGGGGTGATTTCTTGCTCTCTGTCTCTCTGTCTTTCTGGTGAGCATATGCACCCTATAGCAAAAACCTCTCAAAAAAAAGATAATAAAATACATAATTATTTTTAAAATGCAGTTTTTCTACAAATAGCCAGTATTTTTTAATTAATGTAATTAGAAATATAACAATGAGACCAGCAGTTGGCGTAATGGCCATGTCACTGGGCTCGCACGTAGTCAACCACGGTTCGAGTCCCAGACCCGGTGGCGTAAATTGATGCCAGGCCCTGCGTGCCCAAGATTCCAAGAGGAGAATGGAGTAAAGGCACAGTCATACCCGCTGGGGGTGATTTCTCACTTTCTGGCTCTGTCTCTCTCTCTCTTTCTGGCAAGCGCACACGCCTTATAGCAAAAACCTCTCCCCCGCCCAAAAAAAGAAAAGAAAACACAGCCATTCGGTGGCACAGCAGCTGAGGCAGCTGGATCCCACACAGCTGACTACACAGTTCAAGGACCAGAACCAAGTCTAAAAAACACTCGGCACATGGACCTGCATGCCCCAAATCCCAAGAGAATGGAGAAGAGATGGCAGCATGGATATCTCCCCGAATGACACCTGGGGGTGCTTTTTCAGTTTCCTTCTCTGTCTCTCCCCAGGAGCGCATGTTCCCTATAGCAAATTTTAAAAGTAAGTACTAGAGGGACCAGCAGTTAGCACACCAAAAAACACAAAACCAATGAAATTTTACTATTTCTATGACGTGAGGTTTACTTCTACTGAAAACTTAGTAACCAATTTCTAGCCCAACTCTGAGCGCCTATCATTTTAAGATTCTGTCTGAACGGGGCCGGCAGGTGGTGTGGTGGTTAAGGGCGCTGAGTTCCCACACGGCCAACTGTACTTTGAGTCCTGAATTAGGTGGCTTGCTTTCTCACTCTCCCTCTCTCTTGCTTTCCCTCACTCTGTCCTTCTCTGGTCAAATTAAAATAAGTAAATAAAGATAGATAACATAATTCTTTTAAAAAAAACAAAAAAAACAACAGATTCTGTCTGAAGAAGGAATGATTAAATAAGTATTTCAAAATGTTAAATGACCAATCAAAGATACTTTAGAGAGGGAACCAGCAGTTAGCGTAATGGCTATGTCGCTGGACTCCCACGTAGTCGACCGCGGTTCGCGTCCCGGACCCGGTGGCTTAAAACCCACGCCGGGCACGTGTGCGGGCGTGCCCAAGATCCCAAGAGGAGAATGGAGGAGAAGGGATTGTGGCGTGGCCATACCCCCTGGGGGGTGATTTCTCGCTTTCTGTCTCTCTGTCTCTCTCTGTCTGTCTGGCGAGCGCACGCGCCCTATAGTGAAAAACCTCTCAAAAAAAAAAAAAAAAAGATACTTTAGAGGGGCCAGCAGGTAGTGTAGTGGTCAAGGCAGAGGACTCCCAGATGGTCGACTGCAATTCGAGTCCCAGACCTGGCAGCTTGAAAATCATGCTGAGTGCATGTCCGTGCCTGTCCAAACGCCAGGAGGATGGAGAGGGATTTCCACTGGCCACCCCCCAGGGGTAATCTCTCACTTTCCTTCTCATGTCTCTCTCTGTTTTTCTCTGGTGAGTACACACACCCTATGACAAAAACCTTAAAAAAAAAAAAAAAAAGAAGATATTTTAGGGCACAGAAAAATGCTTTCCTTAAACTGACGGCATGATGGGTCCCCACGTGGTTGACTGAAGAGTTCAAGTCTCGGACTTATCAGCTCGAAGAACATACCAGGCGTGCATACGAGCATGCCCAAAGTCCTGAGAGAATGGAGAAGGGACCGGCATGGCATCTCCCAGGGATGCTTTCTCACCTCCCCTCTCTCTCTTACCTCTCTCTCATGAGCACACATGTCCCACAGCAAAAAAATTTTTAATGTGACTACAAGAAAAATATGATATAAAATCACAGCTTTACTCACTTATATCAAAAAAATGATTTTTTAAAAATTTGCTACAGGGCACATGTACTCACTGGAGAAAGACAGGGAACAAAGGGAGAAAGCACCCTGCAATCCCTTTTCCTCCATTCTCGACTCAGGATTTGGGGCACACACGCAATGCCAGATGTGTTAAGGCACCAGGTCCAATATTTGAACTACGCAGCTGGCCACGTGGGATCCAGAGGCCTTAACTATCACACCGCCACCTGGCTTGAAAATTCTTTTTTTTTTTTTTTTAAAAAAGAGATTTTTTTCCTATAAGGCACGTGCGCACGCCAGAAAGACAGAAAACAGAAAAATCACCCCTGGGGGTGGTGGAGGATGACCACGCCGCAATTCTCCTCCATTCCTCTCTCAGGATTTTGGATATGCATGCACATGCACCTGGCGTTCAGTTTTAAGCCACCGCGTCTAGGACTTGAACGGCAGTTGACTATGAGTCCAGTGACATGAACACTACGCCATCTGCTGGTCTCCCAAAATTCTTATTTCTAAAAAAAAAAAAAAAAAAAAAAAACAAGTTGTAGGACCAGCAGATGGTGTTCATGGTTACATCGCTGGACTCCCACCTGGCTGAACATCATCGAGTCCAAGACCCAGAGGCTGGAAACTCACGCCGGACTCGTGTGCGTGCCCAAGACCTTATTATTAAAAACAATAAATAAATCATTCTTTAAGAAAATAAATAAAAAGTAAAATACAGACATGTGGTACTCCTGGCTGCTGTGCTCTCAAGGACTCCCGAGCCTTTAAAGCCCCTGGGCATGAACCAGTGGGAAGTACAAGCAGGGACGCTCTTGGACTTAGTTCAGTGCCTTCGCACTCTAGATGGGCCAGCCCCGATCTGGGAGCACAGTGACCAACAGAGGGTCCCTAAAGGTGAGGGAGAAAAGGCAGTGATCCCAGAGACCGAGGGCATTACGACTGGAAGCGAGAAGAAACCGTGAGGTGAGGGAAGAGCAGAGTGTGCAGACAACCCCCGGACTCACACCCTACTACATCCCCCAAAAGAAAGTGGGCTTCTCCAGCCCATTGCTGTGCATGGGACCCTGCCAAGGTATAAGCTATCTGGACTCTAGGTGGTGTGGTGGTTAAGGCGCTGGCCAACCACGGTTCAAGACCGGACGTGGCAGCTTGCTTTCTCTCTTTTCCTTTCTTTCTCTGACTCTCTCTGGTTAAGTTAAAAAATAGTAACAAATGGAATTAAATAAATAAATAAATCTTTTAAAAGAGGAAAAGGCAAAAGAAAACTATTGGAGACCAGCAGGTGGCATGGTGGTGAAGGTGCTGGACACTCCCACATGGCTGACCACGGTTTGCATCCCAGACCTGATGGCTTGCTTTCTCTTTCTCACTCTCTCCCCCAACCCGGTCTCTCTCAGATCAAATTTAAATAAATGAATGAATAAATAAAATTAAATAAATAAATCTTAGAAAAATTTTAAAAAGAAAACAATTAGCTTATTCCTCAGCTGACCATACCTTTAAAAATAAAAAGAAAGAAAAAATTTATTTAGAATCTTTTTAACTTTTTTTTTTTAATTTGATCAGAGAAGGACAGAGCGCACGAGAGAGAGAGAGAGAGAGCGAGCGAGCGAGAGAGCGAGCCGCCAGGCCCAGGACTCAGGGGTCCAGTGTCCTTGACCACACCATTGCTGGCCCTACTTTCAATCTTTTTTAAAAAAAAGAATTATTTATTTTATTTTGTTGATTCATTCACTTATTTTAATTTGACCAGAGAGAGACAGAGAGAGAAGGAAAGTGAGAAAGCAAGCCACCAGGTCCGGGACTCAAACCATGGTCGGCCATGCGGAAATGTCCACAGCCTTAACCACCACACCACCTGCTAGTCCCCCTACTTTGAATCTTAATAGCAGTTTTTGGTTTAGAATGACTGTCCTAATAATAAACTCATTTAGTACAAAGTGCTACAAACATGAAAACTCAAAACACCTTTCACGGTTTTTAAGTCGATGCTTCAGCCTGGTACCTATGCAAATTTCCAAATGGAAAACACAAGCGAGCTGCTGGGAAAAGCTCCTCCACCAGCAGCCCACGTGGCGGAGCTCGAGCGTGAACTTACTGGCTCTGTGTATCCTCTCCCGGACTTCCATGTACTCCTGTTCGTGCTTCACGGCGGTCATCGCCACTGCTAGCTCATTGATCATTTCTTCTAGCTTGTTCTGATGAGCTACAGGGTTTGAAAAAATGTTAGCACACATTTGGCAATCACTTTTTGAAAAATACTTACTAAAAATATTCCTTAGAGAAGCCATAAAAAAGAAACTACTTTTAGAAATGGCACAGGCATTACTTTGGACCAAAGCCCATTTCTAGTGGGAAACCCCTTTCACAGGAAGAAACATAGTACGTAAGGCTCACTAACTACAGGGCAACCGTTACCCTAAGAGGTTGCTTCTAACAAACTTGCTGTTCCGTGAAGGTCACTGCACTATTAACCAAGTAGGAGACTGAGAAAGAAACAGGGAGTGGAAAATACGTATTTTTTAAACATCTATAATCTACTAGTATTTAAACTAAAAACAAAATGTGCTCTTAAAAATCATGGAAATCGGGGGCCAGCAGATGGCGTAATGGTTATGTCACTAGACTCCCACATAGTCAGCCATGGTTCAAGTCCCAGACCCAGTGGCTTAAAACACCCCAGGTGCGGGTATGTGTGCCTAAAATCCCAAGAGGAAAATGGAGAAGAAAGGATTGCAGAGTAGCCATCCCCCTAGGGGGTGATTTCTTCTCTTCTGTCTCTGTCTTTCCAGCAAATACACATGCTCTATAGCAAAACAAAAAAAAAGAGAATCATATAATTCTAATGTTAACTTAGGAACAGCGCCAAAACAGGCTTCTAATCTCTAAAAGTTAAGCAGAAAAAAAATGAGCCTTGGGAAAATCCACACCAACTCAAAAGTTGTTTTGTGACAGTCAAAACAATGCTTTCAAGACAGTGGAGAACGGCAGGCTTTGTCAGTAGAGAGGAGCTCTGAGCACAAGGCTTGCAGCCAGGTACCTACTTTTTAACCAAAAACCAAAAGTGATCCGTGGTAAGGAGTAAGTTGTACCGCTCTAAAGATTAAGCATATGCTTTCTGGGCAGCGCTAGACGATGAACAGGCAGGCAGGAGAGAACACAAGGGAAGATTCCTCGGAGGGGGAAGTCGGAGTCTCTTCATCCCTGCCCAAGACTGGGCCTCATCTGGGATAATCCTAAATTTCTTCAGAGAGCCAAGGGCCCCTACCAACTAAGGGAACTAGCTGGAAACTCCAGTCAGCCCTGAGCAGCGCACTCTGGGAGCCGGAGCACTGCATGAACAGAGCAGGGCTTCTCAGGAGTGGCACTGCGCTGCTGACACCTCAGACCAGGTGCTGCCCCTTTTGTCCTGGAGAACTTCCTGAGGCGCTGAAGGGTATTAAGCGACATCCATGACTCCCAGCCCTTAGGTGCCAATGGCAGCTACCCACCGAGTCTTGAGGATCAAAAGTATCACCAGATACTGCCACATTCCCAATTGAGGGCGAAGGTCACCGCCACTTGAGAACTACTGCTTTGGAGGAACCGGCCATTCACTGACATCGAAAAGCAAAAGTAAGAGGGGCTGGCAGATGGCGAGATGGTTAAGGGCTCTGGACTCCCACAGTTCGAGTCCCAGACTTGACGGCTTGCTTTCTCACCCCCCCCTTCCCTCACTCTGTCCCTCTCTGGTCAAATTAAAATAAAGTTAAATAAAATAATTCTTTAATAAAAAAAGCAAAAGCAAGAATTTCAGATACTGTGGTACGGAATTATTTAAGAAGTTCAACATTCACATTCACCAGCCAACACTTTCTAACTATTTAAACAGAAACAATTTCCAGAACACAAATAAGCATAAAGGTCTTCAAAACTCCTAATTCTCCTTGAAAATTAGTCAGGGACTGAAAACGGCCCCGAAAAATGAGCCCAGGAATCTGAACTGCTAAGGGGTAAGATTCCCTAAATTGTACAGATTTTGAATGCCACCAGAACACTTCCTCTTCTTTACGATGCCAGTGTCCCCTTAGGGCTCCACACCTGGGACGAATGCTATTGTACTAACCCTGTGGACCGTGTCAAACAACTGCTAGCTTCCCAAAACCCTGGCATGCACTGAGGGGGAGAGAGATGCTCCTTTTAAGCAATTTATCGAGAAGCAGCAGGGTTTGTTGCTGACCAGTTGAGCAGTAAACGGGCTAACTGCAGCATAAGGCCTGACGAGGTTCTCATCACACCTGCACATGCGCTACACTACACTAACAGCCAACCAAGCTTCCCGTTAGAAACTTGAGGAAAGTAGGGACCAGCAGTTGGCGTAATGGCTATGTCGCTGGACTCCCATGTAGCTGACCGCAGTTCGAGTCCCGGACCCAGTGGCTGAGACTCATACTGGGCACACGTGTGTGCGTGCCCAAGATCCCAAGAGGAGAATGGAGGAAAAGGGATTGCGGCGTGGCCATCCCCCCGGGGGGTGATTTCTCGCTTTCCGTCTGTCTCTCTCCTTCTGGTGAGCACAAGCACCCTATAGCAAAAACCTCTCCAGAAAAAAAGAAAAGAAACTTAAGTAAAGCAAGCCTACAAAATACTTTCTACAGAAGCAAAAGCATCATCTGCCATCAGTCATCTTTAATTTTTCCAGTTCTAGTCAAGTCTTCCCATCCTTCAGCATTCATTCTAAAGAAACAGAGAGATTACTACTCAAATGATAATCACTGTGTTCTCAATAATAGCAATTTAAAACAGCCTAACCCGTATCTCCTATCAACCAAATGAAAAAGCAAAAACATAACCTCGTTATAATTTAAACAAAAAAAAAAAAAAAAGAAAAACCATTCTCATGCCAACAAACTGAGATTAGAAAAAAGCAAAGCAGAAATTAGGCATTAGCAAACAAAAAGCTGCAAAAATACAGGATGCTGTCAAAAAGCAATCCACATACCATCCCAAGTATCTCCACCACCTAAAAGAAGTATAAGATATAAACACAAAAACACATACAAAAAATTTAGCTGAAGTAGTCCAATGTAAATGAGCAAATAAAGGTATATGTAACAAGATAAACAACCAACCAAAGACCTGAAAGCTAGATGCTTACAAGAACACAAAAGTGACTGGGAAAAGTTGCCAGAAGGGGCAAGCCTACCGAAAGAGAAAATAAACATTAACTTTCAGAAACTTTAGCTAATTAGAAGCTCTGCTTTAATAAGTGTAATTCATGAAAAGTTCTGGTTTTAAGGACAGTGCAGGAATCTAGAATAAGAAATTAAACAACATAAGTACTCCACTCAGATGCATACAAGTACATAAAATTAAAATCAGCTCTAGGAATGTGATCTGAATGAAAGTTCATCTCACCTTCTGTTTCCATGTCTTGTCCTTTGGGAGCCTCCCCAATATCAATAGTGAACATCACTATCTTTGGAGTCATGGTAGACATCCTGTTACTAAAACAAAACTTATACGTTCCGTCCATGTGAGCAGCAAATGTGTATTTCCCACTGGATTCTCGGTCTCCCTTATAAATTCCTTTATTATCTGGTCCTGTAATCTGGAGGGATGAGAGGAACACATAAAATGTCATGAATGATTTAAAATCAGGAACTGTTAAAGTAATGACTATTGGCAGCAGGAAATTCACTTAGAGTATGTCACTTTTCACTAAGCCCTACGTCAGTTGGTGACAGTGACTGCTTTGGGCTACCATTCTGTCGATTAATGAAACGGGAATGGACGATGGCTCTCTAAAGACTACATTTTCTATCACGGCCTACTTAAACCCCTCAGAAACAAAAAACATGCCTTACAAGTGTTCTCTAGCTGCTCTAATCCCTCCAACAAACATGCAAACATGAAGCTGATGTCAAAAATCAAAAAAATTTCTTCAGAGATTTTCAATAAGACACATTTCAAAGTTTTGCTGACTACTGCCAAATAGTAAAGAAATTTGCTTTATCTGAAGATACCTGAAGGTTTAAGAGGAAAAGGTAGACTAGAAATCAGGAGACCCAACTCTCAAACCAGTGTGCTACAAGTCAGTTGTCTGTTCTTTTAAAGCTGTCGTCACCCATAAAACTGTCACCTATAAAACTAGAAGAGTTGATCTCTGAGCTCCCTAAATCTAAGTCTCTCCTTCCATTTACCTCTTACTTTTGGATTTCCCTTACGTAATATTTAAGAGAGATTTCTGCTATAGGGCAGGTGCATCCCCCAGAGAGAGGGTGAGAAATCACCCCCCAGGGGAGATGGCTACTCCACAGTCGCTTCCTCTCCAGATTTTGGGCACACATGCACATGTGCCCAGGATGAGTTTTAGGCCACTGGGTCCAGGACCTGAACCGCAGTCCACCAGGTGGGAGTCCAGCAACTTAACCATTATGCCATCTGCTGGCCCCTCTCTTAGGTAATTTGTACCCAACTCTACTGAAGTTCACTGCCAAATAGAAAATCCTTAATCCCAATCACTCATGTTAGTAGAGAAGTGAAAATATTAATTGCCTTTGGTCTCCTTAAAAAATAAAAAAAGTAAAAATGAAAAACAAATGGTGGCAAATCATTCCTTTGGTTTTAAAAAGGATATATGGGCAGAGATTCGGTGACTTCTGGTTTCTTAAAACAGTTTCCTGTTTTCTCCAGATACTTTATTGCAATCCTTACTCCGAAAATGCACGACCCAACTTGACAACTCTCCTAGGCACCAAGGACTATGTCAAGTTATCTGGAATCTCGTGCGAAAATGAGTAAAGCCCTTAAGGATAAGACTGTTTCTATGGAAAACAAAGGGAAACACGACGTGAGCGTCTGCCCGGCA